TTATTTTCTTTTTACTTACAAAATATGGCCTTGGGCTTATTATAGGAGAGGGCTTATTGTTTTGAGGTTGCCGGGCGGTTGCTGCCTTGAGAACTGGCTCCTGAAGAGCTGGGCACAGCCTCAGGGGCGAAGCAGCCATGAGGTGACCAAGCTCACGAGCAATCACCCGGCAAACCCCCTCTCCAGCTGGGCAGAGCGCCATTCACTGACCTAGGGGGTATCCCTAAGGCGCCAAGCCATGTGGCGCTCTGCTCACTCCCCAGCTCCCGCGGCTTGGCACACTAGAGATACCCCCTAGGTCAGTACATGGAGCTCTGCCGGGCTGGAGAAGGGGGTTGCGCGAGCACCTGTTTTGCCCCCAGCAGGCATGCCTCCTAGCTTCAACATGTCCGGGCCCAGCTCTCCCTGCAGCAGCAGCCACCGTGCTCTGAGCATAATGTCGTCTCCAGTTCCAAACTCCCAAACCTGGCTGCTGAGTCTTCCAGCAGCGTCCACTCTAGGAGTGTGCTCTATGGTTATGGACTGGCTGCTGGAAGACTCTCTGTCCGGAAGACTCTTATGTATTCCAGCAGCCAGCCCACAACCATAGAGCTCACTCCTAGAGCGACCACTGCTGGAAGACTCAGCAGCCGAGTTTGTAAGTGGAGAAGACGTTATGCTTGGAGCGCGGCGGCAGCTGCTGCAGGGAGAGCTGGGCAACTCCCCCCTCTGGCCAGGCAGAACGCCACTCCCCAACCTAGCAGTATCCCGAAGGCGGCAAGCAATGTGAGTGCCTTTCTCCCCTCCGGCTCCTGCGGCTTGGCGCCTTCAGGATACCGCTGTGTCGGTGAGCGGTGCTCTGCCTGGCTGGAGGCAGGGGAGGGGGTTATCCAGGGGGTTTATTTTCAGGGGTGGGCTTATATTTTTGCCCACATGAAAAATGTAGCAAAGCTTTAGTTTCAGGACAGGTTGTATTTTCGGGGAAACACGGTATCACTTTTAATTCTAAAGCAGTCTGAGGGACTCACATGTTTTGAGATGTGTGCTTGGAGTATTGCATTTGATGATCCAAAGCCTCAATTGTTTTTCAAACATGACTCTTACCTGAGGGTTCCTATGATTAGTAGAAGCTACTGGAATGAATGTGACTGTGAAACTTTGATAATCATAATCAATTTTGATATCACCAGCCTTGCTGGATAACTACCTTTCATTGCTTAGAAGATGAAATTGGCATGAAAGCTGATTGCTGATTGTAGAGGTGTGCATTATTCAGACAAGAAGGTGCTTTGGCTGTGATGCAGACATGCTTGCTTGCTCCTGTAGGTCTCCTTAACTTGTGAAGAAAAAAGGCTTATTTTCTGGAGCCAACTGATTACAGTGTTGAGACTAGAAAAATTTGCAGTTTCTTTAAGATTCAGCTGGTAGGTAGAACAAGGATATCTATGCCAGGTCCAAAACAGGTTTCTAGCTTTGAATCTGAATACTGCATACCTGCTTTCAGGAAGAACTTTTTTTGATATTGGGTCTTCAAACTGAAATGCAGAAAGTAAAATAGATCTGTTTTCCCTGTGTTTATGCTTTCTCATCTGTGCAATTAGGGTAGATTCAAGCTCCAGACTGAAAGGACTGAATTTATAAGGTATCTTTTTTAGAAGAATGTAATTAATGCTGTCTAGGTTTTTTATCCAAGTTATATAATCTTTCTCCTTTTAATCCTTTTAATCAAAGATCTTTTTTTCTAAGATCTATGGAGCTTCTCAATCATCCAGGTCATGGTTATCCTAAAGGTGCTTTTCAACAGGCAACTGGATTTTTTTGGGTTTTTTTTCTTTGAAAATGTTTATGTTTCTTGGATGCTTTTCATCCAAGATGCTTCTTTACTTCATTTTTCCTCTTTTTCTCACTATAAAGAGGTTTCCAGATGAGCCACTATTTTTTCAAATAACTTCAAAATAATCTTAAACTTCCTTTATGCATTCCTCATATTAGCAATGTTTTCAATATTTCTAGGTACGGAACCTCACTTACATGGTGACCCGACGGGAAAAAATTAAAAGATCTGTTTGCAAAGTCCAGGAACAGATATTTAATCTTTATACAAATCTTGTAGAACATGAAAGAGCTTCAGGTAAGTTTTGTTGTTTTCTGTAATTTTTCAGAAAATGACTTCGGAAAAATACTTCCCAATGAACTGGAATTAAAATTAATATTGTAACGCTCATATTTTGTCCCCTTTCTTGATATAAAACAACAAATAAATGGGAAATAATGACATTAATTTTCTTTATGCTAGACCATAAAATTTGTCTTTAAGTACATACATTTAATTTAGGTAAATCAGAATTATCTTATTCTTACCCAGTTTTCCCTCAGCTGTAAAAAAGATTGCATGTATTATCTCTACTGTGCTTTAAAGAATTTATTGATTTATATTTTTATATACTTGGAAAATAATTATCTAAAAATATAGCCATTGCAAATACTTACAAAAATATTTTTATGGCTGCTTGTAACCTCGTTTCCTATTTTTGCTTCCTTTTGAAAGTCATAATATCCTCAAGTTGCCATTTCTCATATCCATGCAACCGTATTACTTCACTTAGCAAATTCTAATTAGAATAATTCCATTATGTGAAGCAAGATTTGGGAACCTTATTTCTGTTGACAGATTCTGGCAGTGAATCTATCCAGACCCAGAAATTTGCAGAGAACTTGATAGCCTGCAAGTAGTTAGGTACATACAGTATGCATTTGAATATTAATAGAGGACTCCATACAAATCAACACATCATTTTATCAGGATTTTTGATTGCAAAAAGTTTGCTAATCATGAATAGCAATAAGTAGATGCTTTTTATTTTAAAAAGTCAACAGATATTGGTCAGAAACCTAGAGGATAGGGTTAAACTTCATCCTCTTACATTCTATTACTTTAGCAATGGATAAGGTTTTAAATTTTGTTCAGTTATTTCATGCTTGCATTTTAATAAAACTTGTAATAATTCAGTTTAACATTTTTCATTATAGGATAAGTAACAACTCAATAAAGCTATGAAAAATATAGTTGTGTTCCATAGAACAAGCTAAGATAAGGCAATGTTGATTTTTAATTGATGCATTTCAAAAACTTAAATTAGTTTTGTGAATTTTAGGAACTTTAGTTTAATCACAATTTATTATTACAAGATATCTTTAAAAAGCACCTATATATCAGTCAAATATATAATTTATATTGTTTGGTCAAATGGGACATTTATTCATTATTTAGGAGGAGCATTTTGAAAAAACAAGAATTGAAACATTTTCTGTAAAAATAAGCTGGTTGAGGAAAAAGAGCAGCCATTTTGCTTCAGAAGTGACCGATAAGAGCTCTCCCCCCTTCAATAAAAAAAGAAAAGCTTTACAACTATTGCTTCCTCTGAAAATGATATAAATAGCTTCTGCAATTTTCCCTGCTTTAATTTTGGCAAATTAACACTTGTACTTTATTAGGGCACATTAACATTTCAAAAGCTAAATAAATTAGTAAAATGAAAATCACTATTTGACTGAAGGGGGTTCCTGTAGGGATAAATATGCTTTACATGTTATGTCATATTTGGAGTTTCTGCTTGGAGAATACAATCTTCCTAGTAGACCTTGTGTTTGATAGTTCCTTACTTTCATATAAACATACTTAAGATCACATTCTGTGTACATTTAATATGAGTGAAGTTTAAGGAAATTTGACTGAATTACCCCATTGGATTGAGCTTGAAGATATTACAGTCAATTTTAGTAGCACTTGGTATTGTAAATGCTCTAATGCCAAATCTAGTAACTATTGATTTAATTATCCCAATGGCAGGTAATTTACATATTTAATGCAGACATCTCCACCATTACTAACCATACTAATTAATTGAAAATAGAGGTTTCTCTTGATATTAGAAGGCAAATATTAAAGATATTTACAGGAGTAAAATTTCTACCATTGATGAAAATTTTGACAGATAAAGTTATTGGTGCCCTTTGATATGAAATTCTGTCATTTTAGTAATGACTGAATTTCAGCAGATTTTAAATGCACTGCAACTAACAGTAATCTTAAAAAGAAATGGAAAGATGTTTCAAAATACCTAACATAAATTTTAACCTAAACTTTCTGTTTTACAACTGACTATTTAAAATCATATTTACTTACATATACATCATATTATTTATTTCAGGCAGAATATAGAAAAGATGTAAGAATAAGCCAAGGACATTAAAACTATGACATAAAAAAGGAAACATAGCTAAAATTAGTTTGTAAAAAATAAAGATTTCCCTTGTCCAGTCGTATCCTACTCCAGAGGGCACTGCTTATTTCCGTTTACTTGTTGAGTGAACCAGCATTGTCTGAAGACACTTTTGGGATCATGTTACTGGCATGACAGTACACCGACCCATACAGACACTTATTTCTCACTGAAGTGGTATCTATTTATCTACTTGCATTTACATGCTTTCAAACTGATATAAACATAGATAACATACAAATACACACTGTAGGTTGCCATATCTTTCTATCTGTGTTAACCATCCTTTCTTTTCCCCTGTCCATACACTTTATCTTTATATATTGTGTTATATATTGTATTTGTTAGTATGTTGTATATACTTCCTAGTCAGTAGGATAAGGGCAATGATATGCCTGGTAATCTGGAGATAGCAATAGCACTTAGACTTATATACTGCTTCACAGTGCTTTACAGCCCTCTCTAAGTGGTTAAAGGTAAAGGTTCCCCTCACACATATGTGCTAATCTTTCCCGACTAGGGGGTGATGCTCATCTCCGTTTTAAAGCTGAAGAGCCAGTGCTCTCCAAAAACATCTCCATATGACTAAATGCCAAAGGCACATGGAATGCTGTTACCTTCCCACCAAAGTGCTCCCTATTTTTCTATTTGCATTTTACATACTTTTGAATTGCTAGGTTGGCAGAAGAGGGGCAAGTAACGGAAGCGCACTCGGTTAAATGGGGCTAGGGATTCAAACCACCGAACTGCTGACCTTTCTGATCGATAAGCTTAGCCACTGAGCCACCGCATCCCTAAGTGGTTTATAAAATATGTTTGAGATAAAACTAGGTTTTGGTAACATTTGAGGCAGTCCCAAAGGTGCCTTTTTTTAAAAAAAAAAAAAAA